TGCTGCCTCCCCCGTCACACCGCTCTGGTTGACCCAATAGGGGGTCCAGCACAAGGGAGTGGTGCTATAGATCTGGTGCAATATATTTGCGGGGTTGCAGTAGATTTGGGGCGTGCGGTACATTCCGGTGCGCACAGGTATTGCTCGATATCTCGCGTGCAACACGCGAGTTGCACGATAACTCTCCCGCGCAATACACTTGAAATAGCGTTGCCCCGAGTCTGTTGCACCACGCTGGGCCTGGCAGGCCCAGAGGTTGACACCAACACTAAAATCGGCGGTGTGCCTCCACCGAGGGAAGACGATCCCGATCTCGGCGATGGTGGTAACATTCTGGCTTCAAAGGTGACCGAAATATTGCCACCAACACCGAAATCTAGGATCATCTTCCCCATGTGGAGGCAACACCCTGTGTTGGTGTTGGTGCCACTTTCTAGGCCTCCAAGGGCCCCCTGTTGGGGTCAACCAAGCGTCCCCTCCTCGTCGCATCCTGCCGTTCCAGTCGAGATGGCGCCGCGGCCCTGCACGCCGAGGCGCGTGCTCTGTGCATCCAGATGTGCCCCCGCGGCGCTTTCGCCCCCCGTCGGCCCCTGGAACCGCCGCGCTGACCGCTGCACCACCACTGCTCCCCTGTATCCGCTGCTCCGCCACCCTCCCTCCCAGACCCCTTCGAGGAGCGAAACATGCACGACGGGAGGGCTTGCCGCCATCATTTCCGGCATCTGGGGGCCCCACACCGGGCCTCGGGACCGTCAGAAAACAATTCGGGATGAGAAGTGGGTCCTGGGGAATGGGCCGAGGCCTCGGGAGGTCGACGTAATGAAACAATCAGGACGTCGCATGTTTGGGTTCTCGTGCGTTCACCCCACGTCGCCATTCGTTTCCATCTTTACATCCTGGTTTCCCTCCCCTCCTCGTCAGTTGTCTTCTCTTGCGCAACCCCCTTCTCGTCGGTGCAGTTGGGCTCTCGTTTTGAACCCGCACGCCGCGACTACACCTCACCGCTTCACTCTTCATTCCTTCCCTCTGCACCCTCTCCTCCCCGTGCTGCCAATGCTGGCCACGCCTAGTTGTTGACGTTCCGCGTACCCCCACCAGCCCATCCAGCAACGATCCCCATTTGGTTTGCATTGGTCAGGGATTCGTAGAAGCATGCAGTCCAGGAGTGAGCCATACATGACCCCAGGCGCTTGGCCCACGCCCCCCCCCCCCATATGGGATTTGTCACATGGTCCCTCGGCACCCATGAGGGCCAGATCCCATACCCACCACCGCACGCCCACAGGGGAAGACCCCACCACACCACACCCACAGGGTGGTGGGGGGGGGGGGCATCGCGCGGAAGGGGGGGGGGGGGCGATGGCATCAGATGAGGGGGGGCCCAGACCGTTGACCATACATGCCTTTGCGGATCCGTTCGAAGGATGAGGGGGATGAGGAGGGAGGAGGAGGAAGAGGAGGGGGAGGGAATCGGCGCGGAGGAGGGCGAGGTTGAGGGGGAGATGGGGGGCGGCGGAATGGAGAGATCTATGGTTGAACACGCTCCCACTCAACTTCAGCCGAACCCTAGTGAGTGGAGGAGTGAGAGGAGTCAAAACAGGGCGACGCATTAGAACTTCCCCATCTGAGGCCAGAGACATGACCTCTTGATGCTTTCTAAAGCGATCTCTGACGCTCAGTCTTCTTGTTGCATTCATGGGGCCTTCGGTGCTCCGGTGGGGGACATTCGGGCAGCCGTGGTGCCTCAGGAGCATATCGGAAGCAAAATGGCGGGAAGGAAAACATTGAACCGTCTCAGACATGTGAAGGTGTTTTACGCGTAGTGAGTTCATTGGGGATCTCTGTGCTCACTCGCAGCCGTCGTGGTTCGGTCTTGGGGCCTCTTTGAGGCCTGCTGGCGGCAGTCTTGCGGCGTCTTGGCACGCATTGGGCTATGTGAGGATCATATCAGAACATACTGGCCACATTGTAGCCATGTTGGCCCAACAATGTTCCAAGGATGCCCTCCCCCGCAATGCCAACGCAGTTCAAATATATGCAGTGTTCTAAGCGTTCTGCGTCATGTAAAATTAAGTAGTTGCGAGTCGCACAGCCCCTCTGGAGCACGACATATCGCATTTGGGGACCCGTCTTGGCACGGTTTGGGAGCGGAGTTTCGTGCCCCCAGTCCCCGCCCCCGCCTCCCTCCTGCCCCCTCCCGATCCGCAGTCGTCCCTCTCTCTCTGTTTTTTGTTTGTTATCTCCCTTTCTCTCTCTCTCTTTCTCTTTTTTTTTTTTTTCTCTCTCTCTCTCTCTCTCTCCATGCACGTTGGCCCCTCAGAAGTTCCGATAAGGTCGTCAGGACGAAAACATCTTTGAACTGATGTGTTGTGAATTCTTGACGCTTCGCGTATCCCCACCAGAGCCACCTGGGTTCGAGGGGCATTACACTGCGCCTTGGTACCCGTGGCATGTCGTGGGTTCCCACTCCTGCGGTCGGCTGAAATATCCCCACCCAGGCCGTTGCCCGTGTGAGTGCGGGCCGTGGTGCAGAGGCATCGGCTGATGGCCTTTCCTCGTGCGTCACCGTTCGAAGTCTTCGAAGTCTTGATGAGTGCCTATTGGCCTCCCCCCCATCGGTGGCTTTGACAGTGATCGGCGTTCTCGGTGACGCACACGCACTGGGTGCCACGTGAATGAGTCCGCCGCGCTTCCGCCTCTCCTGCGCTCTGTTTCTGCCCTGTCGTCTTCGCTCGCGTTTGTTTGGTCGCGGGCCGTTTGTTTCGCTCGCGCCACCTGGCTCCGCTCTCTTTCTTCCGGATGCCGGTCGGTACTCCACCTGCGGGTCCGGCCTGTGTGCTGTGGTTGCCCACCTGTGGCCGCCTCTCTGCCGCTGGCATCCGTCCAGCGGTTTTTTGCTTGGGTCAGCGTGTACTTTTCTGGCAGGGTACCGGTCCGGCTTCCCACCGGCGGGTCCGGCCTGTGTTCGCTGGTTGCCAAATTGTGGCCGCCTCCCTCACAATTTGTTTTGCAGGTGCATTCCACGCGTTCTCGCGCTGATTATCTTGCGCTGTGCCCCAGCCTAGGTCATACCGCCCTTTGGACTTTTCCTTGCGGGCCGCTGATCAAAAAAGTATCCCCTCCAGAGGTAGCCCCGTGCCGTGACCCGGACGCCGCTTCCGCTCCCTGACCGTTGCCTTGGAGCCGCTGACCAAAAAAAAAATGTCCCCACCAGCGCCCACTGAGGTCCGCAGGTCCTGCGCGAGTCCTGCGTTGGCCATTTGAATTCTGGTCATTTTGTCCAGTGCACGTGCCCGAGCTTGCAGTACGCCAGCCAGTTCAGCGTCACCCAGCCTGCAGCTGCCGTCTGAGGGGGCCGGCCGGCGCCTCTGCTTTAGCCAATTAGCCTCGCCCGTGGCCCGGACGTTGCCCTTGCCGCCTGTTGCTTGTCTCGCGGCCGCGACCAAAAAAATATCCCCACCAGCCCATTCAGAAACGTTCAGCAGTAAAGTCGGTGAGTCAGGGGCGGCAGGACGCATGCAGTTGCGCAGCCGTCTTCGGGAAACCAAGGATCACAAAAAGTTTCCCGCATTGAAGCTTAAGATGTAAATCGGTGCAAGTACGATGGTGCTTCGATGAGGGGTGAGGGGTGTTTCGATGACTCGAAATGGCTGGTGCATTGATTTGTATCTTAAACTCGCGTGCGTTTCGAAACTTGGAGCCATCTTGGGGCTCTCTTGGGGCCCTTTGGGGGCCCTTTTGGGGCCCTCCTGGAACTCTTTCTTGGGGCTCTCTTGAGGTCCTTTTGGGGCCTTCTTGGAGCCCTCTTGGGCCTCTGTTGGGGCGTATTGGGGCCCTCTTGGGGCTCTTTTGGGGGGTCTGGGTGCCTTCTTGGTTTTTTTTTGGGGGGGGGGGATGTCTGAGGGGCATCTGGGGGCCGTCTTGGACCTTATCGCTAAAAACGATGGGGGTCCTTAGTTCCTGCCCCCCCTCGGAGGCTCAACAATGCCGCCTGAGGGCCCTCTTGGGCCGCTCTTGGAGCGCTCTTGGGCGCTCCTGGGGCCGTCTTGGGGCCCTCGTGGGCCCCTCGTGGGACTATCTTGGGCCGTCTTGGGGCCATCTTGAGGCCTCAAGAGCCCATCGGCGGCGAAAACGCGAGAAGGCACACAGCACTAATTGCCCTTAGGTGTTTGATGGATTTTGGCCTCTTAGGGGGGTCCTCGGAGGGCTCGGGGGGCACTTGAAACCGTCTTGGGGCCGTCTTGAGGCCTCTTGGATGCGTGTCGGAGGCTATCTTGAGCCATATACCGCTATCTTGGGCCATCTTGGAGGCAATCTTGGAGTCTCCCTCTTGGAGCCATCTTGGGACATCTTGGACGCCGCTGTGGGTCGGGCCCCCCCCCGTCCAAACCAAGGGAGGGGGGGGAGGTAGACCTCCTGAGCAGGGAATGGCAGAAAGTTGGAAAAGGAAACGCTCTAGGCCACCTGCGCCCAGAGGGCTGGTGGGATTCGCAATTTGCCAGCTGATACCCATGTGTCCCACGGGATCCGAAGAATCCAGCGTCCCCTGAGCTCGATTCCGATTGCGAATATATATATATATATATATATATATATATATATATATCTCTGTCTCTGTCATCCCTTCCCCCCGCCGCCCCTGCTTCCATCCCACCTCGGTCCATACCTCACTTTCAGACATCTATCTTCCTCCTCGCACCACCAGAGGGTGTCGGCAGGGCGGGGCGGGGCGGGGCGCGTGATTCTTCGTCACCGCTCGTGATGGTGAAACTTGAAACTCAGAGGAGGGAAAAGGTACTGATACCGCCACCCTTCCCTGTGTTTCCCTTGCTTGAGCCTCCTGGGAGGCCTTCGTCGCCATCGATGTATTCGCTTCACATTCCTAGTCGGAACGCACCCCAGGAGAGGTCGGGGGAGTAGCGGTATCGGTACCGCTTGGGTTCCCCAGAGACGCCGAGCAGTTAAACGTGCGGTTCGATCCAGGTGCCGAGCAGACTGTGCGGATCGTTGGACAGGCTGTGCGGCTTGTGCTGCATCTTCGGGGGACCTCGCCTGTCCCCGAATTTGGTGTTCTGCCTTGCGCCCGACGCGG